TCTCTCTCTCTCTCTCTCTCTCTCTCTTCTTTGTGTAATTATTATGAAGCTTATGATAAGTCTCCACAAATCTCAGTAAATACCCGCTGTATTGGGAATGAGCTGCTGTTCAATGATTTTCATTAATTAGAAAAATCCTAACACTTATTAACAAACAATAAATTATAAATTGGAGAATGATCCTATAAACCACATTATTCACAGCTGAATTGTGATTAAAAATAATAAACATTTTATTAAAATAATTACTTTAAATGTATTTCAATTGAATGACTAATTCATGCGACATATAAACTAAATTTTAATGTCAATCCCTTTGAGAAAAATGTGTTGAAACATAAAAGCAAAGTAATCGCAAGTCATTGCTTGCTTTGAACCAAAGAATTTGCTAATACCGAGAGAATCCTCGATTCCTCGGCTGTTGCAATGGTCTCGACCTCTGGCGCGCACCCGACAGGTCTCGATTGGTCCAGCGCTGGGCCGGTGGCGGCGGGGGTGGTGTATAGCGCCTGGAAGTGGTCGTCTGTCCGGATAAATAATACCTGGACTGAGCCAACGGAAGAGCCGGTCTGTGAATGGGAGCGAACGGCAGAGCTGGTCGGCGGATGGGAACCATCGGTGGCGCCGGTTCCGGAACTGCCGGCCATAGGGCGGGTCTCCGAACCGGTATGCGTGAGCCAACTTGCCATCCGACTGGACGGTAAGCCCCGGCGCCGGCCGTCTGACCAATAGGACCCGATCTGATGGGAATCGCTGAGTGTCGTGGTATTTGAGACACGAATGGGCGGCGCCTTTCTGGAGACTGCGGGATGAATTGGGCGGACGGAGACACCGGCGGCTGTCCGGCGCCAACATCCATGTCGTCGTCCGACTCGTACGGATCGAGCTCTTCATCCGAGTGATACAAATCGAGGTCGGATTCGGTGACATAATCCTGGGGCGTCATATGGCTGGCAGCTATTCTCCGGCGCCCCTCCTCCAGCACTTCCACACTAGTGGCGCCCATCGGCAGCATTTGTTTGGCCAACTGAATCAGATGAGTGATAGTGTAGGCCTCGTCCGGATACGCGGCCGACAGCGTCTGCAGGAAATGGGGATATTCATAGATGTCGGTGCCGTTCAGGTACTCACCCAAGTAGTCAATCAGATATAGCAACTGTTGCTCAAACATCTGCCGTAAGTTGTCTGCCATTGTCTGTCTGTATGCGGTCACGGCCTGTCTGTCTGTCTGTTGAGTTATGACTGACTGTCCACTGATTGCTGTCGTGGTTTAGTATTTTTTGGCCAACAATTTTTGGCTATTTTTGTTGTAAAATATATTGTTTGCGAAAAAATTAAATTTTTATTTTGTTTAAATTTTATTGTTATTTTTGGCGAAATTTTATTTTATTTGTGCAATTTTGTTTTATAAAACTAGTTCAAAGTTATACATATAAATGGATATAATTTATTGAAAGTTTCCCCATGTTCAAGTATAGCCATAGACTTAAGCTGTGGTCCATGTTAAATGGCCCATGTTAAATTCCATAGAGCGGGGGTCCGAACGATCCTATAAATCACTTTATTCATAGCTTAATTATGGTTAAAAATATTATATCAATTATCAAGATCAATTAGAAAGTACCATGATCAAATATTATATGATAGGCTAAATACATAGTTGTATTTAAAATAAGCGCCAAAAACAATAGGACAACAAAAACAGGTTATAAATGAGGAGAAAGTGAAAGAAAACATCCAAAACTGTTGTTGTGTTGGAAAACGAGTTTTCATTCATTCATACATTCAATGCATTTGTCAATCGATACGCAAAACAAGTCATTCAAAACACAACACAACATAAAAGTGTCACTAAAATAGTGTCACAAACTGTCACTCAAAGTGATTATAAATGTCTTATTTTATGTGTTTTGAAAAGTTTCTAAATATTGTGTTTAAGTTTAAACTTTAAATACTTGTTTAGTTTATGTGTTAAACACATAAACGTCTCACTAATCATATAAATCACACCCAAAACAAAAACCTAAACACCTGTTTGTGATCGACAGCGACGGACACATCAATGTGTGGACCAAATGCGGTGATAATCTGTGGCCACAATTAGTGTGACAATAGTTGTGATAATTTGATGACAATTTAGTGGCCATTCATTAGCGGACAGACAGACAATCAGACAATGTGTTTGACGTCAAGCGTCGGCAAAAAGTACACCAAAATAGCGATCATTTTGACGGCGATTTGCGGCACAAGTCTTATCGTACACTCGCTATCAAACGGCGGACACAACCATACGGTCGACGCCGGCGATACAGTCGGAGCCCGTTTAGCCGACAATGAGTTGGTGGCCATCGGCGGTGCAGTTGATCCACAGCTGGTGTTCGCCGCCGACGAGATGGGCCGCAACGCCACGGGCTATGACCGGGAAATTGTGCCAAATGTTGTCCATTACGTGGTGTTGGACAACATGTACATCAATTTTGTGCATTTCCTGTCCATTAAGTCTGTGCTGAGAAACCAAAGACCGGATCAGATAGTGATTCACTGCAATTGCGATGACTTGAGGGGCAGGTATTGGACGCAACTCTTGACTGACGCGCCGCGAGTGATACGCGTCCGACGGCTCCCCAAACCGACCGCTATTTTTGGCAAAAAGTTGTCCTCGATTTACCACTCGGCGGACATCGCGCGGCTGCAAGTGATGACTAGTTTTGGCGGCATTTATCTCGACAACGATGTCTTTGTGGTGAAGAGTTTGGACCCGTTTCGCAGGTTTGAGTTCACCATCGGTTGGCCGCCCGGACAGTTCATCGGTGTGTATTCTCTATGACAATCTCAAGACAATTGATCCATTGTTTAATACGCTCTCTCAGGCAATCAGGTGCTGATTGGCCACAAAAACGCCCGCTTCTCGCACTTGTGGTACGAGTCTTACCGTAAATACCGTAAAAACCGCTGGTATTTCAACGCCGGAGAGTTGCCGACAAACGATATACTGCTGCCGAAGCCATGGCTCGTCCATCGGGTGGACCACGCGTTCGGTGTTCACAACTTATGTCTAATGCTTTACAACCAGACCTATCCGTTGTGGGAGAAGGACTACTTCGCCGTTCACCTACTGGCCAGACATCGGGACTATTTGGTGCCACAAGACTTCAAACATCTCAAAATGTTTGATGAGAACAATATTAAGACATATAACAAGACTTTTGGCCAAATGGCCCGACTTGTGCTCTACGGCACCAAACACTTGATTGACAACACTATTGGTTGACTACCCGATGATCTCAAGACACCATTCATGTCGTTAGTTATTATTATTATTTATTTATTATTAAAATCATGTGTTTTTATATTGTATTTAATTATAAATTGGTTTAAATTAGACTATTTTAGAAGTTTTGTTATTATTTGCTTTTATATAACATTTTATGTCAAAAATAATATTTGACAGAATATTTCATATTTCTCATTGACTTTTATGTGATATTTGTAGTGTTATTATAGGGATTGACTTTTTCCCGTCCCGTCCATTCAAATGTTGATTGAGTTAATCAAATTTTAATTTTTTAAACTCGAATATCTCACAAAATATCACAATTCTATTTTAAATTTTGTTTTAATTTTTATTACTCAAAAAAAATTATTTGTTGTTATTTTGTTTATTTATTATTATTATTATTTAACGTTAAATTCTACAGTGAATTCTAAAATGCATTGCATATTTGAACTCAGCGTTAAATTCTACTTAAAATTATTTATTAAAATTGTCGACTGGACGGGAATCCCGTTATTTTACGAGAAAAATGTTTCAAAATAGGTTTTTTTGGCAAAATATTTGCCTTTTTTCTTACATACCATTGTTATTGAGTTAAATAATTTTGTGATTTTTGTAGGTTTTCATATAAAATAATGATTTTATCGCAAATTCTCTTTCAAAAGTAATATAATAAATATTATATAACTTTATTATATTCTTATATCAATATATGGTAACAGAAATAATACACAACTCTTTCGCTTGAGATAAAACTAAATTAGATTTGTCTGGAAATTAGATTTGTTTTTCAACAGAATTGTTTGCATAGTTTTGATATCAAGTTTTTATTTGAATTAATTTAATATTGCATTCATTTTCTATGAATTTGTGAAATGCTTTTTATAATTACATTAATTCTTACATTTTTATAGACAAAGAATCTGATGAACTATATTTTTATCTCTCTCTCTCTCTCTCTCTCTCTCTCTC